GGGGAAAGCAATTACCGAAGCGAGTTTGGTCCAAAGCCGCTGCCGGAGCTACCGCCTAGGCCAGAAGCCAAGTTAACAAGGTCATTACCATTTGAAGGGGAAAGTAGCTACAGAAGTGAGTACGTAAGAAAGGCTATTCCTATCTGCCCAGTTAATTTGTTGCCCAAATATCCGGCCCCGACCTATCCGTCTGAGCATGTGTTTTGGGACTCCACGTGCAAAAGGTGGTATTAGTTGGTCCACCTACAAGCAAGCGCCTGAATTGTATGGAAAAGGAAGCAATTATTTGAATCTAGAAGGTGAGCACCGATGTTCAATAAATCGGATTCCAGTGAATAGGGCGAGCTAGCCAAATTGTTAAATGTGTTACAGTGATCTTCATATCTGGTTATGTAAATTGTTTCTCTTTAACTCAAAAAAGGTGTTTTTTGTTTTGGCTGCTTTTTTTTTTTTTTTGTTATGTGCCCTAACTGGCGTTTCTCCCCCTTCAGGAGGAGCACCTGGAAGGGTGCATCATACTCTGTACTTAATGTGTGTGTGTGTATGGACTGCTGGTGGTGAACCATTTCGTAGCCCCTTTCCCATTTGTGCATTAGCATTTTCCATCAAGAAGAATTTCAAAACGCCTAACTTTATGCCATGTGTAGAGGCAAATTGTTTAGAGCTTCTGTGCGTATAAATTGGAACAATAGACATGGGACATCACAGTGAATGGATGGATGGATAGATAGAGAGAGGAGGGAACCACTCATACGTCAGATGAGCAGTTTCTCCGTTTGTCCCTTTTATCTGATTTTTTTTAATTTCCTTTTTTTGGAATTGCCTAGTGCTGTATGCACCAGTTACTTATTTGACAATGTACATAAGTACACCGCTGATGGTTTGAACGTGCGCAGGTGTAAATAGCGTCACTTGGTGAGACCCTACGAAAGAGGGGGAGGGGCACATGGAGAGTACCTGTTTTTCCTTCTCCCCTATATGACCCCCTCTTTTTCGATAACAATATGAACAGATAAAGGTGGACGTTGGGATGAATACGTTTATGTGGTTTCGTGTGAAGGGGCTTATATGTGAAACACACAAAAAAGGTTATCAGACCTACTGTGGTGTAGACACACAAAAAGGGGGGAAGGTGGAGAAGCCAGTCGGTGTGTAATTGGTAGGTCGCAACAAAACAATGTGCAGTGGAAAATGCGTGGGTGGTCGTGCAATAGTGGAAAAAACACAACTCTGCACAGTCCTAAATGGAACAAGAAAACAAAAAAAAAAAAAAAAAAAAAGAAGGAAACACTGGGGTTTGATTAAGTGAAGCGGCCAGGGGTGTGGCCACTGAATTGTGCCAAGCAAATACCGTACCAGAGAAGCATACGATATATATTTATTCCTCCCACCCCCCCCCCCCCCC